TGGCAGGGTGGGTAACGCCACTGCGGTGTCATTAACGCTGCCATCGCTTCTCCTCTGTGTCCTTCTCTAGTTCTCACCACCATCGAAGGGATAATTGACAGAGCTGTGGTGGGCCTGGAGCAGGACCAGCCCCTCCGCAGGGTGAGGTGCTGGGGAAGGGGAGGCTCCTCGGGGCAGACACGATTTCCTTCATCCTCTGCCTGTGATGAGGGGGGTGTTAGTGCCCCTCTCAGCCTTGTCTTCAGCTCTGGGCTGCCCCTGGCATCCATCTCCAACGTGTCCTCCTTTGCAGGCAACAGACGGAGAGGTGGCAAGTAAAATAGATGAGTTCATTGGGAAACTCAAGCAGCTGAAAGAAGTCCATTCCTCCTTCACCTTGGTGAGTCCACGCAAGGGCACATCCCCTTTCTGGGCAGGGGGAGCCCGGGGTGGTTTCCTCAGGCATTGTTCTCCCCTAGATCATAGATGATCCCTCGGGGAACAGCTTTGTGGAGAACCCTCACGCCCCGCGGAGGGACGATGCCCTGGTGGTCACTCACTACAGGAGGACTCCCCAGCAGGCTGCCATGCTGGGGCTGGAGGTAACGGGGAGCTGCTGCTGTGTCCTCAGCCTGCTGCTTGCACGAGGGGGGAGCAGGGCTGGTTGGTCCCCTCGCTCTCTGGGACACCCTGAATTGAGGAGCAGAAGGTAACGATGCTGCTTGTGTCCCCTGTGGCAGGGGGAGGAGTGGGAGGAGACGCCAGCTGATTCCACAGAGGAGCTGAGGGATGAGGTGGGTGACTTTGCAGGGCAGAGGTGGCCGTGCCTGGGTGACTGACACCCAGGACAGGCTCTCTGGGCTGGCCAGGACTTTCTGATTCTCCTTTTCCATTCCTGTGACCCAGGTGCTGCAGTTCAACACCAACTGCCCCGAGTGCAACGCTCCAGCCAACACAAACATGAAGTTAGTGCGTATCCTTTGAGTGGGGGGGTGTGGGTGTGGGTGCAGGTGGGTGCCCTCTGCGGGGGTCTGCGCAGAGGAGTCGCTCTCTGTGCTGACCCAGGTCCCACCACACCTGTAAGGTGTGAGTAAGTGATTTCTAGTAGAGCCTGTCGGGGTGCAAATCTGCCTCACAGCTGCCAGCAAGCTCCTGCAATACCTTGGGAAGGGTTGAGGCTGGGAAGAGGGCACAGGACGCTGCTTTGAGACTTTCCTCTTGTTGAGTTTTCCTTGACTGACTGCTCCAGAAATCCCACACTTCAAAGAAGTGATTATCATGGCCACAAACTGTGACTCCTGTGGGCACAGGACAAACGAGGTGAGCTGCAAAACTACGCACCCTTTTTTGGGGGCAGTGGGGAGGAGGAATGGTGTTCTCTGCTCTCCTGGGAGATCTTCACAGCGTGGCTGTTTGGGAAGCCAGGCTGGGAGGGAGGCTGGATTTACGGGCAGTGTCACGAGCCACGTTGTGCTGGGTGCAGTGGAGCTGCCTGGCTTTGCTTCTGGGGGGGGCTGGCACGTGCAGCGGGGCCAGGCTGGCTCTGACTTGTCTTCCTGAACGTGTGAAGGGGGAGAACTTGGTCTTGAAGAGCTCCATGGGGTGCAAGTCGGTCACCTCCACGCCTGTTTGAGTCCCCTGAGTTAAAACACTGTCCCCAAGTTTGAGGGTTTTTTGAGGCACTGTCCCCAGGTTTGGGGGGTTTTTTTGAGGCACTGTCCCCAGGTTTGGGGGGGTTTTTTTGAGCACTGTCCCCAGGTTTGGGGGGTTTTTTTGAGGCACTGTCCCCAGGTTTGGGGGGTTTTTTTGAGGCACTGTCCCCAGGTTTGGGGGGTTTTTTTGAGGCACTGTCCCCAGGTTTGGGGGGTTTTTTTGAGGCACTGTCCCCAGGTTTGGGGGGTTTTTTTGAGGCACTGTCCCCAGGTTTGGGGGGTTTTTTTGAGGCACTGTCCCCAGGTTTGGGGGGTTTTTTTGAGGCACTGTCCCCAGGTTTGGGGGGTTTTTTTGAGGCACTGTCCCCAGGTTTGGGGGGTTTTTTTGAGGCACTGTCCCCAGGTTTGGGGGGTTTTTTTGAGGCACTGTCCCCAGGTTTGGGGGGTTTTTTTGAGGCACTGTCCCCAGGTTTGGGGGGTTTTTTTGAGGCACTGTCCCCAGGTTTGGGGGGTTTTTTTGAGGCACTGTCCCCAGGTTTGGGGGGTTTTTTTGAGGCACTGTCCCCAGGTTTGGGGGGTTTTTTTGAGGCACTGTCCCCAGGTTTGGGGGGTTTTTTTGAGGCACTGTCCCCAGGTTTGGGGGGTTTTTTTGAGGCACTGTCCCCAGGTTTGGGGGGTTTTTTTGAGGCACTGTCCCCAGGTTTGGGGGGTTTTTTTGAGGCACTGTCCCCAGGTTTGGGGGGTTTTTTTGAGGCACTGTCCCCAGGTTTGGGGGGTTTTTTTGAGGCACTGTCCCCAGGTCTGGGGGGGGGGTTTTTGAGGCACTGTCCCTAGTTTGGGGGGTGGTTTTGAGGCACTGTCCCTAGTTTGGGGGTTCTTTTTTGAGGCACTGTCCCCAGGTTTAGGGGTTTTTTTCAAGGCACTGTCCCCAGATTTGCCTCTGAGCTGCCACAGCACACCCTCTGAAGGCACGGTGGCAGGATTTCAGTATAAAAGTTGAAGCTGGCTGCTGGCTGTTCCCAGGTGAAGTCTGGAGGAGCAATCGAACCTCAAGGAACCAGGATCACCCTGCGGATCACGGACCCTTCCGACATGACAAGGGACATCCTAAAGGTACAGCGCTCCAGATACCTGCCCTGTCCTCCCGTGGTGGGTGTGGGGGGCCCAGCTGACCCTCCACGGGGGCTCATGGGGTGCTGGCCCTCGCAGTCAGAGACGTGCAGCGTGGAGATCCCAGAGCTGGAGTTCGAGCTGGGGATGGGAGCGCTGGGGGGGAAATTCACCACGCTGGAAGGGCTGCTGAAGGACATCAGAGACCTGGTGAGTGCTGCTGCTGGCTTGGAGCTCGGGCTCCTCTGTGCTGATGTTTGGCCTGGCTGTGGGGGTGGGTGTCCCACATCTGGCTGCTCTTCCAGGTGGAGAGAAACCCCTTCACTCTGGGGGACAGCTCTACACCCAGCAGGGCGGAAAAGCTGCAGGAGTTCATCGGGAAACTGCAGGAGGTGAGTGTGCTCGTGACTTTCTGTGCTCTGCAGCGTGGTTTTGCTGCTGTCACTGCAGCTGTGGAGGAAACTGAGCTGCTGGGCAAGCGTTGCTTTGCCTTCTGGAGCTGTTCTGCACTTGCCTCGCGCTGTCCTCGTGTGGTTCATCGAGCTGTCACTGTGTTTTAACTGAGGAAAATGTGAGGGCTGTCTCAAGTGCCCTGTGAACGTCAGGATGCTGAAGGATGGGAAAGAGCCTTGATGCCTGGACGTGCTCTGTTTCTGCAGATCATAGAGGGCAGGACACAGGCTCGATTCATCATGGATGACCCTGCAGGCAACAGCTATCTTCAGGTACTGTGTTGTGTGCTGGGGAGGTGAATGCTGAGGTCTGTGGGGTGCTTGGAGTGGATTTCCTTCTGGGAAAGGATTTCCTTCTCTGATTCCCTGAGGAGTGTGGGGAGCAGGGTTCCTTCTGGGGCTCTGGTAGTGGGGGCTGTGCTGCAGGCTCTGTCCAGGGAGAGGAAACTGCTGGTGGCTCTGTGGGAAGGAGATGGGAGCTGTGTCCCTGTTAAAGGAACTTAACTCAGTGGGTAACTCTGGGTTTGCTTCGTTGACAGCTCAGAGCTGGGCCACAGCTCGGTGAGTGGCAAAGGCCTTGCAAACATCAGGCTCTATGGATCTGCTGAATTTAACATGATGCAGTAGATATTCTTCTCAAAGTTCTTGGTGTTTTCCCACCAACCCTCAGTTCCAAATTTCTCATTAATTTAAAATTCTATAAAAGTCCACAGTGGACTTCAAACACAGCTGGTTCTTCTCATCTCATCTCGGTCACTGTGTTCACTGATCTTGAATCATCCTCCTGTCTGCTCACCTCTGCACTTGTGGGAACAACTCACATCACGACGTTTAACTTGTGTCTGTTCCAAACTCTGGAATCTTTCTCAATTTGCTTACTCCAAGTTCATCACTTCTCCTCTAGAATCACTGTGTCTCTAAATTCTCTTATTCTTGTTGATTCAGCTGGGTTGGGTTTGAACCAACCACGGAGAAGGTGACACAAGGGACAACGCGAGAAGCAGCGTGGGTGGCTGTGTGGTTTACAGGAATTATTATTATTATTATTCTGTTATTTCATAGCACCT